TCTTTCCCTCTTTTGCTTGCTTTTAACACATAGTATAAGGAGGCATCCCTTGATTCTGAGATAGAAATTTAAAATATTGCTACCTTGTTCTCTTCACACTTGCCTTCAGAGGTGCTCCACTACTGTCAGGTCTGTGGGTAAAGAGGACAAGCAAATTTGCGGTTGCTGTCCTCTCTCCTCTCAGAAACCAGGGTCTTCATGTTGCTAATAACGTCTAAAGGACTTTCCCTGTGAATAAAGTCTGAGAAGGGTAAAAGTGTAAATGCCAACAATGCCACGCTCTTGATAATGGTAGGAAAAAAGAATAAGGAAAGTCTGGTTTTCTTCTAGGGCTTGGCACATCTTCATGCTCACCATGTCATCCATCGAGATATTAAAGGACAGAATGTTCTTCTCACAGAAAATGCAGAAGTAAAACTGGGTAAGTTTCCTTAAATGTGTGCTAGAAGCCTGTTTGTAAAAAATCGAAGATTTCCATCTTGTCTCGGAAAGAACCTTCAGTAATCTAAGAGCAACAAATATGTCAAGTAGCATTAATGCTTGTGTTTATAAGGTGTCTGTCGTGTAGAAAGAACTGAAAATGTGACATGTTCTGCAAGGATGTCACTCTCAGCCTGTGGAGAATACAGCTACTTCTGGGCAGTCAAACACAGAACCTGTCTAGTAAGTCACAGCACCATCAGGCCTTCACAGCAGATCCCGGCATGCCAAGAGTTCCAAATTTAAAAAGTTGGGGGAATATATTATGCGAATCTATTTCTCTAAGGGAAGGTGGTCTTAAAGATTTTCATAAATCTGTCAATAGGTAAAATTACTCATGTGTAAGGGCTACCACTGAAGAGTAGCTCTTAGTAGTAGTCATCTCAAAAATGTCGGAGTGTGTACTTATTTCCTGTTCTAGCTGTGACATGTCAGTGTTGACAACTTCTGACTTCCTAAGACTAAACTCAAATACATATCTCTCTTGAGGAGGGGCTGTCTTTCATGTTTTGGGGAGACATCACAGAGAACGCGTGGCAATGATTTAAAGGAGCAGTCTCAGGGAGAGCACTTCTCTTATTTGGGGTGATCTTTACGCTCCCTCTCTCTTTAATTGAAAGAATTCACTGTAGGGTTGGAGAACAAAAATAATAAACATGGCCTGTGGATGTAGGGTAGGATGTTTGGCTGGAGCAAAAGTACTTTAAATCTCATTATGGTTTAACCTTATGGCAAAATCCTGGCTTCACTGAAGTCAAAGGGAGTTTTGCTGTTGTATTAAATGAAGGCAGGGTTTTGCTTCTATCTCTCAAAGATATGTACTAGTTTTTCACTGTTCCCCCTTAAAACTGGCAGGATGGGGGGGTTTGTGTGTATTTACGGTCTTGAATAGTTATTAGTCCCACCATCCTTCACATGGTTGACAAGAAAGTTAAATCTCTCTAACTCTGGGTAAAGATGAAACAGATTTACTAAATACAACAATTCAAAAAAAAAAAAAAAAAAAAGTTGTTTCCAGAGAGATTTAGCTCATTTGTCTTAAAGTAAAGAGGCTAGAAACGCAAGAGGTCCTCAGTCCAGTTCCGTTCCACTTCAGTGTAAGTGTGCACGCTTCCCCTCAGAAGCACAGAGTGCAAGATGATCCCAAAGGTCAGGTGCAACTTATTGTTGGAGAAGGTTTGCTAAACAGGCACATCAAATTATAGTAGTACGAATGACTGTGGTTTGCAGATGATCTGCAATGAGGTACATAAGTGAGAAGCTCTGCTCCTTGATGGTATCCATCGGGCTGTCTCCTTTCAGTCCTTTCTTTTCCCTATTATTTTGTCTTCTCTGTGAGTAGCACTCAGGTGCTATGCCCAGTGGATCCAATTAGTGTATCTTAGAGGTTTGTTCAAAGAAAAATACAGTCACATAATTATTGGTTGTATGGGCCCTTCTTCACATCTGAACAAAACCATTTTGCTATACAATCCTGACAAAAGTAACACCCTTTTCAGCACAAAGAGCACCATATGATTCTCTCGTTATAATGAGTCTAAGATCAGAATAAACTAGTATACTCTCCAGCTTGTTCTAAGATAGTGTATGAATGTAAGGAAGGAGTTATTCCAAACACCTCAAAATGAAGTGATATGATACTTTTTTCCAGCTTTCACAAATGGCCATATTAGACCCATCCAAATTTGCCTTGCCTGTAGATACTATTTTTCCTTTCAGATACTAGTTAAAGATCATAGAATCATAGAATCATTAAGGTTGGAAAAGACCTCTAAGATCAGTGAGTCCAACCGTTAACCCAATACCACCATGCCCACTAAATCATGTCCCCGGGCGCCTCATCTACACGTCTTTTAAATACTTCCAGGGATGGTGACTCTACCACTTCCCTGGGCAGCCTGTTCCAAGGCCTGACCACTCTTTCAGTAAAGAAATTTTTCCTAATGTCCAGTCTAAACCTCCCTTGGTGCAACTTGAGGCCATTTCCTCTCGTCCTATCACTAGTTACTTGGGAGAAGAGACCAACCCCCACCTCGCTACAACCTCCTTTCAGGTAGTTGTAGAGCGCGATGAGGTCTCCCCTCAGCCTCCTCTTCTCCAGGCTAAGCAGCCCCAGTTCCCTCAGCCTCTTCTCATCAGACTTGTTCTCCAGGCCCTTCACCAGCTTCGTTGCCCTTCTCTGGACACGCTCCAGCACCTCAATGTCCTTGTAGTGAGGGGCCCAAAACTGGACACAATATTCGAGTTTATTCTGTAATGTCTTCCTAGAGCAATTCCTGTCTGCTGTAACCTGCCTGGCAGATTTAGCGTGCTGTTTATTTGATCCTTCTGTCAAAAAGAAAAAAAAAAAGGCAGTTAAATTTCAACTATTGGACAAGATGTACTGGAGGAACTCAGATTTTACATGCACTGTAGCCCAAAGTTTTGGTATTCTGAACAGTATGAAAGTAACCAAGCAAACACTCTGCCACGTGGATACAACGCTTTATTGATTTCTTTACTTCTGCTTGGCTTTTCAGTGGATTTTGGTGTAAGTGCTCAACTGGATAGGACTATTGGGAGAAGAAACACTTTTATTGGCACACCGTATTGGATGGCGCCTGAGGTCATTGCTTGCGAGGAGAACCCAGACTCTACCTATGATTACAGAGTAAGTGTTACAACTCTGCATAAGGTAGCAAAACGTGCAGGTTATTGCTGAAATCCTGCTCAAGTACTGCATTTGAAAAGTTCAAACTTCCTTCCTTTTAAACCGCAATAATATTATAACTGTACAAATAGAATTATTTGTAATATGTGGGTGGTGGCTCTTTTTAAGAGTGGAGTTTCATTATGAATATTTTTTTGTGAATTGTTAATACATGAAATACACTTTCATAAACTTGTGTGCAAGAAAAACCCAACTAATATATGGAGGTTGCAGGTCAGGATAGAAAAGAAAGGAAGAGGTAAATTTGGAAGGAATACTTGAAATAGTGTAATACTAATACGACAAGTTATTGCTCTCCTCTGTGATAGAGCTGTTTTACTCTGTACTCAGCTGTGAAACCTGTGTTAATTGGCAATAATTAGTATCACTTCACTCATTTATGAGCATGTGACTGCAAGAAGTTTCCCATCCCAGAACGATTTCTGGTCATTCGCAGGGTGGCTGAGGTGAGAAGGCACAGAATTTCGTGTATTTCAGCTTCTGCCCGTTGCCTCTTGTGCTGTCACTGGGCACCTCTCAGAAGTCTGGCTTGGTCTTCTTTACTCTCCTCCCATCAGGAACTTGTACGCATGTATGAGATCCCCCTGAGCCTTCTCTTCTGCAGGCTAAACAGTTCCATCTCTCTCAGCCCAGAGCCTCCCAGCTCCAATCCCTTAAACATCTTTGTGGCCCTTCGCTGCACCCACTCCAGTATGTCCATGACTACCTTACACTGGCGAGCCCAAGAACAGCTGTCAAACACTTTTTCTGGTTCTCCTCCTAACTCTTACAATATGCTGACGCTGTTCCAAAGAGACTTACAAAGCTTATTCTTTGTCCTCTGGCCTCTTTCCAGCAGTGTCATTTGTCTGTCTACACTTACCATGCAGGGTGTTTTCCAGGGATGGCTTTCTGAGCAGCCATCTTCTGAGTGACCCTTCGGTTACTCTCTTGGTTCAGGTGCTCTCTTGGTTGCCTCTTTGCACCTCTCATTCTAATTGTGGCTTCAGAAATATGTATTAGAAGAACTTCTTACTGCTTCCATTTTCCAGTGATTCAGAGGCTGTGATTCTCCCTTTTTGAGACTTTCTGTGCTGCACTGGCAGAGTGAGGTCACGTTGTGTGATTGTCAGTCATGACCAAAGAATGTTCTTGGATTTTATTTTATTTTTCATACCATGTAAATCTTCTACTGAAACCTCAAGAAATTAATCTTTTGTCTTCATTCCCTGTCCCCAGTCGATTTCCTTTTCAGAATGTGTACTTTTCAGAAGATACAAGCATTAGGAACATGCACCCCTAATTCCTGAGGTTTCTTTGCCTTCAGTAATAATCACAGTTCATCTGCGTGCATTTATGTCTGCTTCTGAATAGATTCTGCAGATGGTAGTTTAAAACTGATCGGCGGAGGGTTTTGGAAGCACTTATGCCGACAGTGCTATGACTCAGAAGGTGGCATGGGGCCGGTCTTTTCTACAGACATTTATAGATGATATGGTGAGCAAAGTAGCAAGAAGCCACTCTGTAACTGTTCCAGCTCTGATTTAAAAAAAAAAAAAGATTATAACAAATGAGTAAAAATATATACGCATAAATATGTGTATATACACATTGACCTTTACAAACACTGCTGTCCTCCTCCTTTCCACCCGTCTGCCTCTCGCGCTTTGAAGCTCCAAACCAAAATTCTTGGTAGTCTGATTGTTTCTCCCATTGTCCCTAAAACCTGTGGTACTACCCCTAGAAGACACTTCTAATTTTCAGTCATTTACTTAGTAACAAGTCAGGATCGTGAATCTATTAAATTCCCACCAGTTTTGTTGTCAAATCCCTCCACAAACTATGGATGCGAACTGGTTTTCCGCTTGCGTAAAGCAGTTCAGAGCAGCTGGACTGAGAAGGGTCTGTTGATAAAGTCAGATCTAGTTAGAGTGCCAGGCTGGGCATGAGCTGCTATTCCTTAATGGTATATTGCTTCTAATCTTTGAAGGTTTGTCTTCTGTTGCTCCCTTTTTAAAAGATAGTTTTAGAGAAGCCCTGTAAGTTGGTTTGGTCACGTGCGTGTCATTTGGCTACATTTAGACACAAAAAATAGTAAAATAATGCACATGATTAATCAAGTGGAAACCTGTGAAGTTTTTGCAGTCACTGGTAGTGTTTCCAGTTTACCTTCCATGATCAAAACCTGGCCCTTTGCATCCAGATAAGCTGATAAAGGAAACTCCACTCAAAGTCAACTGAGCTGAACATACACTGCGGCGTATATCTGAATGCATGATGTACTCTCCTTTCATGTGCCCAAAAACATGTGACTGGAGACTCTGGAGACAGAAAAGGTCAGACCCCAAGGCCTGACTATAATTTCTGTTCCATCAGTGTGGAAACTCAGCAATGATTGCTCTGAAATAAGCATTAAGACCAAGAATTTTTTTGGCCAGGAGCAGGGGGGTGAGACACTGCTGTGTCTCACTGCCTCATGAAAACAGGTTAAAAGATTTAAGACATATATTTAAATGGTGCCTGCTATATTCTGGCTCTTGTTTTTTGAAAGCAGAAGGTCTGCGTTTTGGGGCTGGCTGCTTAAATGATGAATCAGCTGTTCAGAGTTGCATGGGAAATGGGAAGCTTCTGGCTATTAGCACATTTCCTAAAAGCTCAGTAGGGAATGGGAGGGAGCAGAGTGTATGTCACTCCAACTAAAACGACCTGATCCAGGAGAAATCTAGGGAAACTGTAAAAACAAACAAAAAAACCCACAAAACCAAAACCCCAAAAGAAAACAAAAAAAAAAGCTTGAATGCTGCAAGTTGCAATGTGCAATGTTTCTTTTCCTGCAGAGTGACCTATGGTCTCTGGGAATCACTGCTATTGAAATGGCCGAAGGAGCTCCTCGTAAGTGATTTGGTATAAAGGTGGGGGTGTCTGCGCTATGTGAACATGTTCTGTGTTAAAATAACTCATGCTTGGCTAATGCACAGATGTACAAAATTCTGGTTCTGGCGATATGTTTAAAAATAATCTATGACTTTTTCTCATTTGGGATCTTTTGCTTTCCTCTTCCTTTTAGACCCTTTACGTCTATATTTTGATTCCTTGCCTTCATTTCCTAGGGAAACAAAATAGTTTTTCTTAGAGCTTTTGTTAGCATCGCTTTGTTGATCACTGCCTGTGGGTACAGCTAAGCAGAAGTGATTGACACATTAGCAGGAAAAATTAACAAGAGTGGCTTTGGGTTTAGGTCACTAAAAAGAAAATACGGCAGTGGGAGAAGCTAGGCCAAAAGGTTATGTTTTTACTCTGGGACTGACTTGATTCTCGCAGGTTTTGGGATGAATACTGTATTTGCTCACATAATGGCTTCGATCCATGACCACATTCTCAACCTGACAGCAGATCGCCATAGTTTTACAGCCTGCCCTCGCCTGCCAGCTGCCCGCCTCGCTCCTCTGGTTAGCCTCTCGCAGCCGTCGGGCAGGGATCGGGGGCTGCAGCGTGGATGCAAAGACCTCGTGCATTTTTGTTTCCGTGGAGGACCGGTTGCTTTGTCCCAGCGCCCGCAAAGCAGATGTGATGTGATGGGGTATCCGGTCACTGCTGAGAGCACAGGAGGTGAAATAAATTACACTCTGGCCTAAGCTTGAGAGCACGTAGGCTGTGTTTTTAAAAAACACACTTGGCCGTTCTCCCGTCAGACTTGGTTTTTAGCAACGCTCAGGAGCCAGCTGGAGTTCAGGAGCACTTTCAGACACTGTGCTTCAGCCTCGCTGAAGCTTAGTCCTGAGACATGAGTCCGTGGGGAGTTTTCTTTGAGAGAGGCTTTGTAGCTTTGCATGCTAATTCCTGATGCCACTTGTATTTGATGTTTTCACTAGTTTTGGCAGGGAAATGCTATGGATTATATTCTGTTGCATTGTGTTTTGTTTACTGTAGTACAACAATGTCTGGGACCCACAGCTAGAAACCAGACTACTTCTGCCCCCCATCCCCACTATATCACATGCTATTGAAAATACAAAGGAAAAAGTCAAAGCCAGAACCCAGATGTGAGAAATGACGGCAGGTGGATGCAGACAGAGAAATTAATAGAAGGCAGTAAAGGCCTTATCAGACCACAGTCTTCTCACTTTTACTAGTTCTGTAATGCAGTAAGTCCATTCCTGTTAAGAGAATCACTGCTGAACACCTGTATATCATAAGAAATCAGCCTCCATATAGTTCCTATCAGTTGTCATTCAGTAGCTCTGTTTTGTAAAGGAAGACCTCTGACCCTTGATATTTCCCCGTGACAGATGGAGCACGCTCATAATTCCGTACAAAATGCCTGGGATAGATGAGATGTGACAGTATTTACTTTCTGCAGAGTTCTTTTAGCTTCAAATTTCCACAACAGTAACATTAGAGAGAAGTACATTGGGCTGGAGAGAAACCAGCCTCTGAATGCATGAGTAGATTCTGTTGCAGATTGTCTAATAATGGTGCTCACACTCCCGAAACACAGAATAGATGAAATGTGTGCTTAGTCATTACAGGCTGCGCCAGTGACGCAGTTTATGAGCTCTCCGCTTCGCATCAGGTTTTCTTCATCCTGCATTTTCTCTTATGCCATGAATAATGTAGCTAGGAGTTTGGTTAAGATTTGGCTTATCATTTATCTGAACCATAAGCCAGATGTAATAAACTAGGTAAGTATTTCAATCCCAACTTTAGCTTCTATTTATGTGAAAACACCCTTTGGTGTATTAGAAAGGTGAGCTTCTTTTATGTCCTTCTGAAGTCTTATATATAAAAAATATTAAGAAAGTTGTACTTGTTCCTGTCATGCAGCCTTTCTTTCAAATCTCTTTTAACTGGCAATAACAGCATATTGCCGTGAAAGATTTCTGTGTGCTCAGAGACTTTATTTCTTGGCTGTAGTGTGAATTTCGTTGACTAATGGTGCGGTTCTGCGGCGGATGCTGTGCTGTTGGAAGTGGGAGTGTTTGTGGAGGACTGCTCCTCTCGGGAGAACCAGGCTCCTGGCCCGGCTGGGTCAGCGTGGTCAGGCTGTGGGAGGGACACAGGGGGGGACATGCACCCTTCAATAGCTTGTGGTTTCCTTTGCAGCCCTGTGTGACATGCACCCCATGAGAGCGCTCTTCCTCATCCCACGGAACCCGCCCCCAAAGTTGAAATCCAGAAAATGGTAAAGAGATGTGTAAAAACTGTATTTTTGCTGCATGGGGCTTAGGAGGATTTTGAGCTCTCTTGTCCGGAGACAATGATCTTGTTAAATCCTGCAGTGATCTGTGAGGTCTTTCCTAGGCTGTTTCTAGTGCTGGGTTAAGCCACGGGTGCAGATGTAGTTTACCTTTGGGAAGCAACACCTTTGTTTTGAACTCTGCCTAAACTGCGGCAGTCATTGCAGTTGCTAAAGTTTGGCATGGGTGGCTGAAACTGCAGTATAGGCGAGGCTTAGGTGGGCTGCTTGGGGCCAGTGCTTTGTCAGAAGACTACATGGACATTGTGGGGCTAATGGCAGTCACTGTGGCCTACAGAGAATGAATTTGTCTTTTAAATAAAGTGTATAAAGAGAATCTTCACCATATCAAAAGGGTAAGGGCATTTTTGAAAGAGTTGCCTTGGCCAGATTGTGGTTTTGTTGATCTGGATGTAAATTCAGGGTAACACCACTGAGAGGGTGGTCGGGGTGGAGTTCCCCATCATTCGCCCTCAGCGCTGTGCTGGTCTCAGGAGACACACTGGTGGCAAAACGCAAATTGTCTCGCGTGCTTCCAGGGCAAAAGGAAACCTTGCAAAGTTAGTGCTTTCCATCACCAGGGGTAGTGCTTGGTGCACAAGTTGAAAAGGATTATTGTTTTCCTCCACTTTTCTATCTTTTTCAGGTCGAAGAAATTCCTAAACTTCGTTGAAAGCTGCCTGGTAAAAAATTATTTGCATCGACCATCCACTGAAACGTTGCTTAAGCATTCTTTCATCCGAGACATGCAGAATGAACGGCAAGTGCGCATCATGCTGAAAGACCACCTGGACAGGACCAGGAAGAAAAAAGGAGAAAAGGGTAATGTGGCAAAATCAAAATAAAAGACACCGCAGAAAGTAGGTCCTCTTCCAATCTTGGCAGCAGAGTACAAGGCAGGTGCAACTGAAATACTAGAACCAGAAAAACTGTGAGAAAGTGTTGTCCTTGATAGTGGTGGGGCCATTTTGAAGATCGCTTTGACCCTGATTCACTGAGAGGAACCCTAATGCTAATGTGAGTGAGGAGTCCAAGTAAAGTCTAGGTCCCTACTTTCTTGAGTATCTAAGTGGTACTCAACGAGCGTTTTCTAGTCTCTTAGTTCATCTGTCTGTTCCTGATCCATTTAATTTACCTGTTGCATCTCCGTATCATTTTAGCTTATGAGTTCTTTGGGGGCAGAAGTGCTCTTTACGCATTTTGCAGTGGAGTGCACAAAAGAGACCTTGAGAAGGCCTCCAGGCTCCAGCAAAACACAAGTGGGTGTAATGAATCATCTACTTCACAGGGTGGCTGAAGAAAATCTGAGTTTGTTCCAAATGCTAGCCTTACTCTTTAGAGCGAAACCTGGAAGAAGCTGTGGTGGAGCAGGGATGATACTTGTGTAAATGCCCGTGCACAGCAGACTAAGGGCTGTGCAAAGTGGGGAGAGAGCGTAGCCTGTTTTTTTCCCTGCCCTCTCTCCCGTCTTTTTCTTCTGTATATTTTATACTGGCAGGTGCACTGTGAAAATCAGTGACTATGAGGGCAAACTCGGAAAGCACTATACAGTCAGAAAGTGACTTATAAACTCCAAGTATTGATTTGACAACAGGAATCTTTGTGCCTAAAATGAAATTGCTGTTGCAGTGTAGATTTACTGACTCCAATAGTAGTTGAAAATTCTGCCATCTCTTTCAGCTATGAATCTCAAGACACATTCGAATGGAAAGATAGCGAGTTAGAGTTTCTCACAAATGCCCTTGGGGCGGGGGGAAATGCAATGATAACAATCACTTCTTGATAGATGGTTATATTTTGACCTGAAAAGTGCTATTTTTAATCAAAGCTCCCCTGAAAGGGAGAACAGTGTGAAATTGCCAGACTATACACTTCAAAATAGTGACTTCAAAAAAGATTAAGTCCCACTTTAGCATGCCATATAGCCAGCAATGCAGAGTAGGACCTGAAATTATCCCTTAAAAGCTGCCTTCCTGTTAGTCTTAAAGAGAACTTTAAAAGTGTGGGTCAGCTTCTTTTGAACTGCTGTGCTAAAACTAGCATTTATTGATTATCCCTGTTTCTTTTTTTATTCACTTTAATACAAAAGGAAACCTGGATTTACTGAAGGCTTCAGCTTAGCCATACAACAGGTATACAGCAGCAGAGAAGGGCAGTCCAAGTCTTTTATGTCCTATCTAAATTTCTTTCTGAAGAACCCTTCTGCTGCTGTTGTTATGGGGGTTGGATTTCTCTGTGGATTTGGCCTAATTTATTTCAGATCATGGAAGTAGGTTAGTTTTGCAAAACCAATACAGTCAGTCAACGGAAAAGGTGGGAGTGTGTAAAGGGGCTGTCCTGAAACATTATCTGAACTAGATTTTGAATTATGTACGTGGATACCTTACCTCCCCTCAGCCTCCCACTGCAACCTGTGGCTTTTAAATTCCAGCTGAACTACATGTAGTTCAGGCTGAGTGCTCAGAAACAAAGTTCAAGATCATATCTTAAATAACAGCATCCTCCACTAGGGTTTGTTTATTGTTCTCTTTTTTTAGAAGAAACGGACTATGATTACAGTGGAAGTGAGGAGGAAGATGATGATCTGAATGAAGATGAAGGAGAACCAAGGTTAATTTTGTTACTGGACTAGAAAATTTGACTGCCCAAGCTGTTCTCATTGAAGGCAGCCCTCCTCAGCCAGAATGGCTTTCTTAACTTGCTCTGAATCCCTTATCTCCTGCATCCCCTCTGATATTTACTATTTTAACTGTTTTGTAGCTATCAAATATAACTGCTGAGTGTAAGATGTCTGTAATAAGTTGCTTCTTAGTTCCCCTGCAGTAGGGAGGAAACTCTCAAATGAAGGACCCGATAATCAGCTTCAGGCTGTTTTGTAGCACAGTAAGTGCGGATGCGTAGTCAACATGCTGGAGATTTATTGGAACGTCTTAATTTGCTAACACAGGACAACACGCAATTCCCAATGCACCTTGTAGTCTCTCTTTAATGTTATGTTTAGTCATGTAGAAACCTCCCCTTTGTTTCAGCTCCATAGTTAATCTCCCGGGAGAGTCAACTCTGCGCCGTGAATTTCTGAGGCTGCAGCAGGAGAACAAAAACCGTTCTGACCCTCATCGCCAGCAGCAACAACTGAAGGACCAGGAGAAATACAAGAAGCAGCTGCTGACAGAGCGGCAGAAAAGGATCGAGCAGCAGAAGGAGCAGAGGAGGAGGCTGGAGGATGTAGGGACCAGCTTGTATTGTTGTTCCATGTCTCATCACAAATAAAAAATGTGCCTGTAGAGAGTAGGCTTTGAAAGGCAAGAAGGCTGTGTTAAATGGTCGGCATAACCTGGACTGTAGTCTTTAGCCTTGGGAGAACTTTTGAACACAATGATTTTAAATGATTTTAAATGGGCTCTGTCCTTTTCCGGCTGACAACCTGCCCTGAGCTTTGGGAGCGGAAAAGGAGGGGCATTTTGCTTGAGTTTGGTGGTGGAAGCCCGGGCAGATGGGATGAGAGATCCCCATTTCTTTCTCATGTGCGTTGCCCAATTTGGAGTCTGTCTGTCTGATCCAGAGTCCTGGCCCTGCTTCTGTTTAAGATGTTACAAGATAGCTGCTGCCTTTTCAGCTGTCTGACACGCTATGGTGTTGGAGACATTGCTAAATCACCAACGTGTCTCTTCTCATGAGTATCTGATGAAATTCAAGCATTGTGCAAACACTCCAGAGCTGGCATTTGTGAAGCATAGTGGTGCTGCCCCAGCAAAACGGGGGGACTCTGGAAAAACCCTTCCTTCTCAAAATGACGGGAAGATACTAGTCATTAGATTAGCTGCCAGCCATCACAGAGATCTCGCATGCCTGCTTAAATGAATGGCAAATCTGCCCTGGGCTGCCAAAAGGGCAAAGGTTTTACTTCAGGTTTGGCAGTCATTGCGGTGGCAGCTTGTGGCTGTCTGCTTCTGCTGCGCAGTGTATCGGGTATCCCGTTAGCGTCTGCATAGCAGGAGATGGGCCTTGTGATTAACGAACACTGGCATAAGTAATTGGTGGGTACAAAAGTAAAGTAAAATAAGCAATGTTATTCCCTGGCTCTCTTCCAGCATCAGAGGCGAGAGCAGGAGCTACGAAGGCAGCAGGAGAGTGAGCAGAGGTGGCCAGAGGCTAAGGCCCTTCAGAGGAAAGAGGAGAGGTGTAAAGACGACAAAAGGGCTGTGGAAGATGAACGGTTCATAGTAGATGGACAGAGGAAATCAGAAAAGAAGCAGGTATGAACAGAGTGTTTACTGACAGCAATTCACAGCTCCCTGTTCCTGTAGCTGATGTCTTTCTCAGTTCCCTGCGGGTGTTCCCATCCTCTGAGTCACAGACCAGAGAGGGACTTTTTTAATGCATTTACTGCCTCTTGTTCTCAGATTAACGTAAGTTAACTTACGTGTTACTGAGTCATCCTCCTCATCTATAGCAATGGCACTGCCTCCCACTTCTCTCCCTGCCATTTCTCCGTGCTGAAGTGGTCTTCAGTCACTTCAATCTGATTTAAAATATCTTTACCCTGAAAGCTTCCAGCATCAGCTCAACCTAAGCTTAAATCTCCAGTCTCCAGTTTCTGTTCGGGTTGTAACCAGAACCATTTCTTTCTCACAAATAAAAATGGAGCAGAGGTTAATTTTAATGCTGAAGTCTCATTGTCACGTCTGGCACCTTGGCCACAATGTTTTTCTAATGTTTCAGCAGCGAACTGATTTGTAATCAAACAGAAGCATGGAGTGTTTGATTAAAGCCCTCTGGTTTTAGGAAGAGTAAAAAGAAAAAATACTGTTTTCTGGCGTGCTGTCTCAAAAGCCAAACACGGGGTGTTTGGGGTCACTTTATGCTTCTTATTGCTCGGGGTTGTGACTGTTCTGTCAGCCCTGCTGGGATCCTGCTCACTTTGTTCTTTGAAAAGCCAGTATTTCCAGCGGTCAACTTGGTTGTCCTCCAAGGCATTGTTCTCTCTGAGGTTCATCACTCTTTGCTTTCAGAAGGTGGAAGATGTGCAGCACAACAGGAAGGTGCATCGAACTCTCCCCAAAGATCAGACACAGCTGCTGTCTCTCCAGCATGACCACAAGCAGAAGAAGAAGGAGCCTCCCAAGAGTTCCAATTCAGCAGTGCATCCTCCATCAAGCAGCACAAGCAAAGAGGTACCGTCTCAGCCAATGTAGCGTTTTGGTGCTTTGCAGTTTATGATGCTGTGGTAATGCTGAAGCAGAGAACAGACTGATCTTCAAACCTAAATCTGGAGCTTGACCTGTGTCTTACTACACACTTTTGCTACAGTAAAGCCTTTGGTTTCCATTAATGTAGAGGATAAGAGAAAGGAAATGTTGGTCTGTCACTTCTACTCGAGTTCAGAGAAGGGTTTGACTGGTGAATGGGGAAAAAAGGTCCTTCTGGTCAAACAGGTGTCATTCCCTTGTCTTCCAAAGAGGAATGAATTAAGGTTTGAGGTTTTTAAAATCAGGTCTTTGCCTGATTTTAGGGTTCGCAGAATTGACCCAGACACAGAATGGCATCATGCCTCCCAAGCACAGATCTCCAGGCCTCAATGTCAGGCTGTGATGCCTTTTCTTGTTCTTTGTCTCCCAGGATTTTGGGTAGATAAGGTTTGGTGGATCAGGGGTAGCCACATACAGTCCTTGATTAAGAGTTGCAAGTCATTTCACTCTTTTGCTAGCTCTGAAAGTATTTCTGCCCATCAACTTGTTCTGCTTACTGTTATCATATTGTGAAAAGCTACGGATCCATTTCACATATGTTATCTCATCATTCCTAGCACCCTTATTTTTCGTTTTGCTATAATCCCAACTTGTGAGCCCAGTTCTACAGCTGGTGTGATTTGTTGTGTTACTAAAGTCTGGGTCGATGTCAAAAATCTCAGCAGCTCACGGGTGCCTCCTTGGGTGGCTGTGTCTAAGTAGAACAGTGGATGTGATGGTCTCTGCATTCATGGCAAAGCATCTTCCCAAAATACCCAAGCAAAGGCATGAGGAGAGCTCGTGCGCATGTATGTAGAAGGGATGCAGAGCGCTGCTTCTTAACATCTTGCTGCAGTCTTTAAGCAAGTGCCCTGTTTGTCACCTCTTTGTGTGTGCGCGCATGTGTGCATGCATGCTGCAACTGGTTCCCTTAGCTGAAATTTTCTATGTTGATAAACAGTTAAATGAAACTGCTAGGATTGTTGAAATGATGAATTTTAATAACTGAATAGAGTCAGCAAACAGCTAAGCAGCAATATGAAATCAGGAAAACAAAAGATACTAAGCTCCTTGGTAGAGTAGCAGTTTGTGAAAACAAAAGGACAATTCTGCTTGAAGTACAACTTAACTGTCAAAAAACTGAATGCCCTAGCTCCAAAGGCTTTATTGCATTGACTGATCAGCAAATCATTAATGAAGTTTGAATGAACTCCTCTTGAAGCAGTATTTGTTTGATGGTGGAGGGCTGGGTCTTATTCCAGCTGGGGAGTAAATTGGGTGTGGACAGAGAAGTAACCTGCTTTTGCTAAGTACGCAACATTAAAGTCAATAGAAATGCTTTGCCTTTGCTAGGCTTTCGGTGGGTGGGGAGAAAATGCAACGCAGTTGAGTTAATTTGACTTTTTTTCTACTTCATTGTAGTTAGAAGTCAAAAGAACTGCAAAATGTCAGCTTAAATACTCATCTCTGGTTTTGGCATGTGTTTTGTAAATGACCCCTTTGTAACAGAATGAAATCTATTATGGAATTTAGTGTACAGTCACTGTTAACTTTTAATTTAGTGGTGAAATAAAATATCACTAGTTGCAGATAAAGTGCTGCCTGCCTTTTAGGTTCACAGCACGAGGCTTTTGTCGTTATGGCTACTATAATATACTGTAGTTTTAAGGACAAATTATTTTACAATATTACTTATTTAATCTCAGAACTTCTTGGAAGTGGCAGTTCCTTCCACTAAAATCATAATTAGTGGTCTAGGGTTGCATTTTTTGGTTGAAGTTTGAGACTTTGTAATTATGTCAGCAGTCATAATTGTTCACAACAATTTAAAAGTGCTTTAAAGTTTTGACTGTTTTTAACAGTGATAACTCAGTGAATTTGTTCTTGTTGATATTGATCTTTCCCAGTTTATTAGTGAAAGAGATGCTAGTTTCTCTTGGGACACAGCTACACAGGGATAGAGGTAGCCTACTCAAGAGCGAGTTTGTTTGCATACTTTTTAGGGCTCAGTGGCATTTGCAGGACCAATTACTGATATACAAAAACTCTGCAGAATTACTGTTGCATTGAGGCATTAAAAACAAGCAAAGAAACAAAAAACCATAAAGCCCTCCAAAGCCCCAAGTTTAATGTTTGGGGCCACAGAACCCTTTCTTTTGGGAGTTCCTTGTCTTTGCCATTGCACTCATCCTGTCGCAGGCAGGTCAGGGTGGGTTTCCCCTGGTCTGTGCAGATGTGAGCTCACTCTATGCTGTACGTGGTCCCACCGGCACCAGAGCTAATGAGCTGAGAGGCAAGGACTCCTAGACTTGACGCTGCAGTAGTTCAGTGCCTGGATAGGGGCTGGCATCAGTTCTGGGAGCCCAGAGTGTCAGCTGCATGAGTTTGCATCTGAATCACAATATATTGCATGCAAGCACCCTTTGGGCACAGAGGTGGTAGGTAAATTATCGTATCTAGCTTTTACATTTTCTTGCTTATGGTAAAATTTGCCTTTCATTATTAGGAGTTGCAAGTAATGAAAATCTGGCCTCAAGAGTAGTATAACGGTTGAGTTCACTGGGGCTAGAATTTCGTGGTATTTGGCTGTGGTTGCTTATTCTAATAAGGGTTTCTTTTGGGTTTTTTTGGTGTTCTTTTTTTCCCCCCAGTTGAGATCTGTGAGACTAGGTGGAATCATTTTCCATCTCCTCAGCAGTTCGCTAGGCTGTGTTAAGAATATGCTTACCTTCCTGACGTAGGCACAAACATCCAGATATAGTGAGAGATACCATTAAGAATGCCCACCCAGACACAGATAACTGTGTTTTTATGGCATTAATTTCTGGTTTACTGTGTAGAGCTGTTTCTAGGCTGCTGAATGGGAGGATATGTTAAAGATTTACACTAGAGAATGGGAATTAGTCATGTTGAATGAAACTGGAAAGAGTAGTGGGGTCAAAACCATAGGATAAAGATTTTTGTAATGAGCAATACCCTTAGGAAATAAAGGGACCTTTATTCCTTCTAGATCACGTTCCTCAGTCTTTTCCATAGTGCAAGTAACATACCAAAAGATAGAGTGTTAAAAGTGTTTTAAAGTAGAAAGCAACATGCAGTAATGTCAACGTTGTAGAAGGGTGTAATAAATGCACAGCAAAACAGGCTGCATGTTGTCAAAGATAAGTAAATACAGACAGATGATTCCTCCCAGCTAAAATCCCAGCCTGCAGCAAGTGGGATGGCCTAGAATACAACAGATGGTAACTCAGGCCCTTTTCCTAGCTGCAGTTTGGAAACTTGATGGAAAAGGAAGGGTTGCAAATGGAGAGGCAATAATGGTTCATATTGTTCCAGGGCTGACCTCTTCCCAATGGGGAGGTCCATCAGAGTCGATGCGCACTGTGCTGCTGTCGGAGAACATCCAGGCTGCAAAGCCTGAGGCTCAGTGTGCAACATGCTGCTGCTTTTCTCCTTCTCAGGCTGAGGACCGAAAAAAGAAAAGTGACAGCATCCAGCCTTCCCTCCAGTGGCCAGCGGTGCTGGGGCACGAAGCCACGCCACACGCCAGGATGGGATCTGGCAGCAGTTCCAGCCCTTGCACCCCCGCACCACAGAGAGCCATGTTAGTACAGGTACGGTACTGCTGCCCCAGACGGGGAGGAGAAAGCATGGGTGGTTCCTAAGCAGAACAGCGCATCGGAAGCCTGATTCCCTTCGCTCCTGGCACAAATGACTGAAGCCTGTGCAAACCGGCTCAGAGGTTTTTAGTGCCACCACATGCTGCAAAGTCCTACGTGGAATTATGCTTAGGCACTGCAGATCGGGGTTAGATAACAGTTATTTTTATATACTTGATTCCTGGTTGCTGATTCCATGATATTACTCTTAGATGTTTCACAGAAAGCCTGAATGACTGCGCTGTTGCAGTCTCTGGATGATGTATTATTTGTATGGCGCCATAAATATACGTGGCACTTTACAAAGCAAGTCCAAAGCTGGAATTTTTATCCCTGAAGACTGTATAAACAAGCAAGATTGTTAGTGATCTTATGAAATAATCTAGAAGTATATGGAGATGTAATAAGGACCAATGCAGAGTCAGATTTTGCCTGTGGATAGAGCCCAGAAGGTCTGTGACTTGAAAAATTTCAGTATTAGAGGTAGAATAAACAGTGAAAGCACTCAAGTTCTGCATTGGAATCTTTCTCTCAAAACGTTTTAGCTCTTGCTATTTCTACCAGTTCTGGGAGAGGTGATTCAGGGTTCTGACACTGTGCCCAAAAATTCGGCTTCCTTTCAACATCCTACTCTTTCACAGTGTGTGAAATAAGTAGCTTAGACTGCAGTTACTTTTTTCTCCAGTCTCTTGTGAAGGGACTGTAAGCATGTGTGAGCAAAAGAAAAACAAGATAGACAGCAAGTAGAGATGGAATGAAGTGGGAGCACAGCTCATTTAAGCTGGAAACCTCCACTTGCTTTGAAAACATGCAGTGGCAGGAATAATCTTACTGCCTTTACAGTTCCCCACAGCACTTCATTTGTGCATTCATTCATCCCCTCAACGAGGATATACAATCATAGCGCTTGTTTTATTCTTGGCAGCTCTCAGTTTGTGCTGGACTCCTGGATGGATGGATGAAGCTTCTGATCCATCTCTCCAGTTGCTTCTGTGGGATTTAGCCAGTGGTACCCAGAGCAGAGTGGCATTTGGATCATGCTTAGGCGTTGTTTGTGTGCTGCTGTGGCATCTTGTGGCCTCTTTTCTGTGCGCGTTGGATCTTGGAGTCAAAGGGGGAAGATCAGACCGCGGGGGAGGGTGGGTTATTAATTTCAGCTCAGCTGCTTTCAGAGCATGTCGTGCTGCCTCACCGCTGAGCTCTAGCAGCAGTGTGGGCCTGTGTACTTTGAGGCTACCTGTGATTATGGGTTATTACTATGAGGTTAGGTTGTATTATCCCCAAGTTCATTGCTGGCCACTGAAACCTTGCTTGGCATGAACTCCTGGTGAACATCCTGCATGGAAGATCATAGAATCACAGAATGGTTTGGGTTGGAAGGGACCTTTGAAGGTCATCTAGTCCAATCCCCTTGCAATGAGCAGGGACATCTTCAACTAGATCAGGTTGCTCGGAGCCCCAACCAACCTGACCTTGAATGTCTCCAGGGATGGGGCATCTACCACCTCTCAGGGCAACCTGTTCTTCCTTATATCTAGTCTGAGTCTACCCTCTTTTAGTTTAAATCCCTTACCCTATTGCAACAGGCCCTATTAGAAAAGTTTGTCCCCCTCTTTCTTATAAGCCCCCTTTAAGTACTGAAAGGCTGCAGTAAGGTCTCCCCGAAGCCTTCTCTTCTCCAGGCTCAACAACCCCAACTCTCTCAGTCTTTCTTCATAGCAGAGGCGTTCCACCCCCCTGATCATTTTTGTGGCCCTCCTCTGGACCCGCTCCAACAGGTCCATGTCTGTCTTGTGCTGAGGGCTCCAGAGCTGGACGCAGCACTGTAGGTGGGGTCTCACCAGAGCAGAGTAGAGGGGCAGAATCCCCTCCCTCGACCTGCTGGCCACGCTTCTTTTGATGCTGCCCAGGATAGGGTTGGCCTTCTCCTCGTCTGTTGTTACCAGTTTGCCAGTTGTGTTCATCGCGAGGGTACCCTTCTTTTGACCTTCCTTTTCTGGCTGACACACCTATAGAAGCCATTCTTATTATTGTTTGCGTCCCTTGCCAAGTTCAGCTCCAGCTGCTCCTTGGCCTTCCTGATCCTATCCCTACTCAACCGGGCAAGGTCTCTATACTCTTCCCAGGATACCTGTCCCTGCTTCCACTGCCTGTGCGTTTCCTTCTTGCCCTTTAGTTTGACCAGCAGGTCTTGACTCATTCATACTGGTCTCTTGCCTTCCTTTCCTGATTTCTTACACCTGGGGATCGAGAGCTCTTGCACCCTATGGAAAGTGTCCTTAAAGATCTGCCAGCTCTGTTCTGCTCCCTTGTCCCTGAGAGTAATTTCCAGGGGGTCCCGTTGACTAACTCCTTGAACAGCTGGAAGTTTGCTTTCCTAAAATTCAGGGTCCTGACTTTACTCTTCACCTCACCCATATCCTTCAGGACTGCGAACTCCACCAGCGCATGATCACTGCAACCCAGGCTGCCTCCAGTCTCGACATCACCGATTAGCTCACTTGCGTTGGTGACCATCAGGTCCAGTATGCATCCCCTCTGGTAGGGCTGTCTATTACTTGGCTTAGGAAGTTATCCTCAATGCCCTCCAGCAGTCTCCTGGACTGCCTACAGCTCGCCGTGCTACCTTTCCAGCAGATGTCGGGGTGGTTGAAGTCCCCCAGCAGGATATGGATATTGTCTTAAAAAGCAAGATATAGAAGCGCCTTAAAAATCATGCCCTCGTTAGCAGCTCTTTATACTGGCCATGTCAAGCTCAGCGTGTCCTGAGCCAGCCCTGAGAACCATTCTCATGTTCTGCCTTTTCCTCAGTCTGTGCTTCGCAAAGCGCTCCGTAACTCCTCCTTCCCCAAGAGCCAGGGTCCTTGCGGATCAGGCTCCCTGGCTCAGCTCTCCCCTATCCTTCTGCTTCTGTTTATGCCCTGGAGGGATTCCGTGGGAGGCAGATAGTAGCTGTCTGTTAGCGTCTTTAAGTCAAAGTCTCCCTGTGCCTTTCCTGTTCAGGTTGCTGTTCGGTGATGATGGAAAAATCACCGTAGCCAGCTGTTGGGAGAGGAAAGGCCCTGTTTCACCTGATAGCTTTTACCTGGGAAAACATTTGTGTATCTTCGCACATCCTTTTTTCCAGGGCCTGTTTGTCATTTCAAGTCATGAGTATTGTAACTGGCTTGTACCATCAAATCACTGGAGAGCTTGTGCAAGGTCTACAAGAAGGACATTTGTATCTTAGCCTTGAGTAGAGGCTGGCAGCTTCCTTGAGGCGAATATTTCAGCCCTGCAATGGAAGTGAGGGAGTCCATAGTTTATTGCAGGGCATTTGGTTTCTGCAAGAGCACAGTGGCTGTACAGAGGATAGTGCTGCCCTGTTAAAATGCCATTCCCGGGATAAAAGGAGCTATGTTCTAGGCTGGCTGCGTCACCTAGGACAAGCCACTTCATTCCTTTGCACCCTGTCGGTGCTTCTCTGTTTGGTAGTACCTCTCCCAGCTGCCGAGGGGGGTGGTGAGGAATGAAGCAGTATTTACCAACCTCTTTCACATTCCTTGATGGACACTACACTATAAAATTTTATGCTGTTTAAAGTGATGGTGTTACTTAAGGATAATAGCAGCAAGTGATATACAGTTGTTACCGTGTGATTTCACTCCCTGCTGGTAGCTGCCCTGTTACCCACTCACAAGTGGGTGCTCCAGCTGATAGAGGCCGTGTGGACAGGGAGAAGCCAATCTGTACTATTACCTGCTGTGTTAGCATGGAGACCAGATGAACTTCAATGGGTAATTTATAAATCCTCTGAAGGGTTGTGTTTCCTTTTGCTGGTTGGCAGCAGCTGATGATGCTAATAGCACGTGTGGATATGCTGCCTGCCTTAACTGTATGAAGTGTTAAGGCAATATGAGCAATGGGCCAGTAGTCACCTGGAGATTAAAAGACTCACAGCAATATACTTGTGAAGTGCGATACGTGGGTGCCTTGTTGATTTAAAATGAAAATGAACTGTGGAGTTAAAATGCAAGCTGAATTCATCACAGATGTCTCTGCTGAAGAACTTCCAGCCAGGTTTATCAGGGCGGGATCATCTGTCATCACTGCTCTGCTCAGACAAAAATGACTTCTTATTTTAAACGATCATATTCTGTGAGATTTTGTGGCACATCCTGGTTGCCCAAATACCTCTCAAAATTATTTCACTGGAAATCTTAACACAGCCCCTGAGGTGCAGGGAGCATGATTTCTCGGTGTCTTGTATCCTATCTGTCTGGTAAGGGAAAGGTGAGATATTACCAGATCAGAGTGTACCATTTCCACCTGGTTTGTACCTGTTTTGTGTCTGCTGCAGCGCGGTAGCAGATCTGGCTCTCTGGTTGTGGTTGTGTTGGATGAGCTGTTCTGGGCTACCTGCAGAATTTCACAGAGACTTCTTGAACAAAGTCACTGAGTCTGTCCCTCTACCCAGCGTCTCCTGCTGCCTGACTAGTGGAGGAATTTAGCTCACATCTGAAATGAACTCAATTTTTTAATTGACTCTGTGGTTTTCCTATAGGATTTGCTAGCTAGATCTCCTCTATTGTCTGGAGTAATGTGGCTGAATCGGAACAAGAAAGCTAACAATATTAGAAGAACTAGCTGTGCAATAGGTCATGGATTGACCCAGTATCCCAGAGCAGATCTGCTCAGAAGTTTAAGAAAATCCTTTTCCTTATGCTGTTTCGTAACAACAGTTGCGCTTATCAACCCCCTGTACGTAGATTCAGTTCAAATTAGTAACTTAGGCATCCTCCAAAAAGCAATGCAGCCTGTCTTTTTAACACTTCTTGCTCCTAAGTCTTTTTAAACTAACTCTTTTAGTACTATAATCACTCTTTTGTACTATATCACCTTATGTTATAATTTCAGGAAGCAAAGAGTCCGTTTCCTTAGCTCTGTTAGGTGTGCTTTTATGGTTTGAAGACACATAGTAGGTAATACTTTGTCTACCAGTGCTTTCTGTGCATGAGAGGAGCTGCTGTTCTTTCAGTATTACTTATAATAAAAACAATTTAAGGCTCAAGTCTGAGTAGTTTAGAATCATTGTGAGGTGGTTTTTTTGAATTTTTTTTCCCCCATACAAATTATTTTATCTGTAAAACTTAAGGGGAATATCAAGCAGTATAATTTTGGGGGTTATCTGAGACATTTTTGGCTTGCTGTGGAATTGCAAGGTCTTGTAGGTTCTACAGAAATCATCCCAAAAGTAGGTGTCACTTCTTGGCTTTACATGGAACCGGTGTACTGGTCTCTCTCTGCCCAAAGAAGGTATGTGGATTCTGCAGAGTTTGGATTCACCCAGTCACTGATATCATGATTCAGCAAAGCTCATCCATGCTTTTAAGCACAAATAGTGTTCTGGTAGTCTGCAGGACTCAAAAGCTGGAATTTAGGAAGAAATGTAAGTATCTTGTTGAAAAAGTGGCAAGGAAAAAAAAAACTTTCTATATTCTGATAATAACACACTTGCTATAAAACCTATTTCTGTACCCACGATGAATCATTTCAGGGGAACACTTTGCTGTTGAAATAATTCTGGTTAACTAAAAACTACTATTAGTGACAATCATGTTGGACAAAAAAGTAATTTTGACGAAATGAAAGGACATGGATTATGAGATGTTATAACTGCTGAAAAAGCTATTTTCTGTAAAGGGAGTCAACAGAACATACTGTCCCAAAAAGGCAGAAAAAGCACCTGAATATTTAACTAGGTGAACTTCTCAGGACTGTTTTTTGACAGTTGACTTTGCCATGCTGGTATGGGAGGTTGTGATGGGACGTTTGAATGGAATGATCTTTAACTAGTTTTAGAATTACTACCTGTCAATATTTAAGTGATTTTGAACATTGTTCCCATGAAATAATTAGTCTTTTAGAGTTATAGGGAGTTCATAATCATATTATATTATTGAAAAGCTGTGCGCAGTTCTCGGTTACTGTGTTTTACTTTTTAAGACTGGGGAACTGGAGAATTTTATAGACTTGGGCTGATAAATCAATAAAATATTCGTCTGAGTCATTCTTTGGGGAAACTGAACTGCAGCGGCCTCTGATCTGAGTTGCAATAACTCAGTTGGGACGCAAGAGTTTGAACTTTCACTCAGACAAAAATTGTCAAAGTTGTCTTAGGCCTGCAAGTGGTGGGGATGCTGGTCTTGCCGTGCGTTTGAGAAAGAGGTGCCTCCCAGCAGAGGTGTGCTAGCATGCCGGGGCACGGGCTCCTCCCAACGTGGGAAGGAGGACGTCAGCCCGTGGCATTCCCGCCGGCTGTGGGTGTCTCTGGTGAGCCCCGGTCTTGCTTTGCATGGGAGCTCTGAGAAGATAAAGCACAAAGTGGTATAGCTTCAGGCATTTCTCTAATATTTTTTCTATTTCTGTAACATCAAATTGGTTCTAGCATAGCAATCCCTCAAGACGGGCCCAGCTCACACAGCGTTTCTGTGTGTTCTGTCTCAGTCTTGTGTCCAAGAGGATTTCTCATTTCAGGGAGGATCAGTACCTTCAGCTGACATTTTTAGCTCTCTGCCTTTCTTCCCCTTTGGAAGATGCCGATGTGTAGAATTTAAGGGACTCTTCTCTTCTCTTCTCTTCTCTTCTCTTCTCTTCTCTTCTCTTCTCTCTTCTCTTCTCTTCTCTTCTCTTCTCTTCTCTTCTCTTCTCTTCTCTTCTCTTCTCTCTTCCCTTCTCTTCTCTTCTCGTATTTTAGCTTGAGATTTACACTGCTTACTTGTTGTTCCCTTGGAATGAAGACTTTGTAAGGAAGTGATTTGATTGCTTCCTCTGCCCACCCCACCCCATCCCACCCTGTGATTAGGGCATTTGCTATCCTAATGCTCTAATTTGGTACCTTTGAAGATATCTTTTAAACACAGGCAGTCGTAATGGGAGCACCTGGGCATGACTACCCACGAGATGTAGTCTGAGCATAGTTTCTTCTTTCTTTCTTACTGCATTCTCAAGTTTGATTTTTTTCCAAGTAATTAAAAAATCTGTTACAGAGGAGGGCCAGGGCACCCTTATAACCATTGGAGAGTTGAAAGCGCTTCCAGCTGGCAGTTTGTCTCCATTGACTCTAGGTTGATGGTGGGCTTGCAAAGACTAGTTTGGAAGTCAACATCTAACTTAGGGGAGGTGGGTTTCCCCAGTGATTATACTATCTAAATTCTGAAATGGAAGCATTGGTCAGGTTTGAATGAAATATACTTACTCAACAGTGATTTTTGCATCATCCAGTTAAGCAGTGCGCCGTGCATTGCCAATGACCTATAAGCTTCTCCGTAGATTTAAGAAGGGGAGATATATGTACAGCATAGAAGTTTTTACTATTTCTTTTTATTGTACCCTTCACCTTGAAATATTTGTGCCTAACATGCTAATATGCTGGAAACGAATAACTTGCTTCACAGTGAACGAGGTGAGTAGGGCTGTATCCAAACACAATACCCTTGTATGTTTACTAAAAGTGTGATCTCACAAACAGAACCATTGATATCTGTTGAGATTGGGACCTGTTACATAGGCAGGGAAGTACAATTCAACATGTATTTAATTTGTTTCAAGTGTGAAAATTTCCGGGCTAGTAAGGATGTGTACCACAGCAGTTCACTGTCAGATATGGTGACGACACCACTCAGCCCTGTGCAAGATGACGTATTCTGGAGCGTGAGTCAAAACGAAGAACAACCCCCAAAGGTATGTGAAATTCAGGATCTTTGGCACTGTCGATGGTTAATAGCACTCCATTCCGTTCCTCTGCGCTGTGTAGTATCCATCCTCTGGACTTCATGAAACTCAGTGAAAATCTCTTTGCTTGTACATTAACTGGGTCTCAGTAATCTAGAAAGAAGATACGAATTTATAAGCAGGTCAGTGTTCTGAGTTTATGTGTATGTGTATAATGTCTGTGGGATCTGCGAATGCAGATACACTTCTTTTGTTAGACCAACTATTCGTAGCTGCCCTTTCTGTGAAAAATCTGGCTTGTTGCAGAAAAGCTCATTAGTTTGTGTAATTCGGGTGATCATAGAATCATAGAATCCTTAAGGTTGGAAAAGACCTCTTAAGATCATCGAGTCCAACCATCAACTCAACACCACCATGCCCACTAAACCACATCCCTAAGCGCCTCATCTACACGTCTTTTAAATACCTCCAGGGATGGTGACTCCACCACTTCCCTGGGCAGCCTGTTCCAAGGCCTGACCACTCTTTCAGAAAGAAGTTTTTCCTAATGTCCAATCTAAACCTCCCCTGGTGCAACTTGAGGCCATTTCCTCTCATCCTATCCCTTGTTACTTGGGAGAAGAGACCAACCCCCACCTCGCTACAACCTCCTTTCAGGTAGTTGTAGAGCGCAATGAGGTCTCCCCTCAGCCTCCTCTTCTCCAGGCTAAACAGCCCCAGTTCCCTCAGCTGCTCCTCATAAGACTTGTTCTCCAGGCCCTTCACCAGCTTCGTTGCCCTTCTCAATGGTGTATTTCTCTTTTTAACAGGATCTCTAAGAACAAGTACAAAAATATTTGTGTGGGGATGTGTACGTGCATGCATGCGTGTATTCATTTTATTACTTTGCAGCTGGGGACAGGGGTGTTTCTCTCTTTCCCCAGCCCTTTGGTAGCAACATAAGGTAATCCACCACCTAGGGAAAGCTGCGTTAAGTGACTGCAGGTGCATTTCCCTGTCTGCTTTAAATATTGACGAAGAATAATGTTGACTCTAGGGAAAGTGCAAACCACTTGCAGTCTGCACCCTGATAGATTGCACAGGCTTGGAGCAAATTGGAAGCACCTGCTGCTGACTTGCAGCTTCCAGTGTTGATACCATGGAAGACCTCTCCACAGGTCCCACTGAAGCATTGTTCATTTATGTTGGTTAGTCTTATTTTTGCATTGATACAGGGTAAGCATTAGGTTTATTAACTGAGTCTAAAATATCAGTAGCAACCTTAAAACATTTGATTAAATCTTTAAGGTTCCAGAAAGGACAACCTCTAAATTTTACAGCAGGGATCAGCCTGGCCATCAGAGATGCCTTTCAAGGTAAGCTCTTAAGCATTTTATGCTTATACTAATGCTGATTTATTGTCAGTAGGAAAACTAAAGCCAATTTATTAAAAACCAAGCCATAACCTCAATAACACCAAAAGTGACAGGGGTTCATACCTCATTTAATAGCAGTTACAATTATTTTGTCTTTTGAGTCCATTTGTCCACAAAAATAACTAACCAAACTTCCTGATCTTAAACCTGAAGGAAGTATCTAAGCCAGCTTCCTTTTAATGATTGACATAACTGATTTAAAGAGAAACAAGCCTCTTGTAGATCTCCTCCTCCTCTTCACGCAAGGTAGTTCTGTCTTCTGCTGGAAAGCAGTATTTTTAATATATAAGGGCTGTTCCATCTGTAATAATTCCTGCAACGAGTTGTTTTATTTGGTTCAGCCTGTTTGGCATGCCCGAGTGGGTTGCATGCAAGTTGTGTGTCCGTTTCCCAGTTAATGGGCAGCGTGTTGTGCAGTCATTTAACTTCTTGTGATTTGGTGATGCTTTGCTTTCCCTTCACATTAGAGTAAGTGGCTGCTGAGGGTGCAGGTTACTTGAGATCCAAGCCTCTTGGCACTGGTGATGGCAGGAGGGAGTGGTGCTGGTCAGGGCTGCCTGGATGCTCTTGCAGGTGCTCTACATCAGCGCCAGTGCTATTGGTTTCAAAGGGGAATTGGGTGCCTGGATACTTTGGGGAGTGGGGGTCTGGCCCCAACTCCCTGTATAGGCACTTAGAGCCTGTGAAGCTTGTGCCTGTAGCTTTGTTTTGCCTGGTAGTAGCTTGAACAGGCAAATATGCTGTCTATAGATGTATCTTGACTATTTTGGCAGTCTGCCCTTAAGGCTAGTGTACTTTTTTCATATCCCAGGAGAAAAGGCCAAGGATGCAGAGAGCTCAGCGGTGAAGGGTAGCCCCCACAGGATGTCTAATCAGGGGACATAATGCTGTGAGAAACTCGGGTTGGAGAGATTTGAAAGGGAAGTAGATTTAGCTGACATAACAAAATAATGTGCAGCACTTCTGATGAGCCAGAGTCAGAAACATCATCTGAAATAACTTTCAAGTGAAGTCAAGCCCTAAATGCTCTCTACTTAGGAGGCAAAGCAGAAAACAAACATGTAAGTAAACCACAGTGTTACAAGTGAGTGGCTTCCGAGCCTGGGATTCTGGATGAGCCACTGTTTTACTTCACAGGCGTGGCAGCTTGTTTTACTGTCCGATGCGTTCCTTTCTCCATTGATAAGTGGGTGGTGATGTATCTTCTAGGAGCGTACTGGAGCAGGTTTCATTATTTGTAAAAGCCATGAGATTTTGGAATCAAAAGTGACACGGATCTGAAGAGGCCAAGGGAGAAGTACATATAGTAGGATCTTTTGTAATGACTTGGGAATCTCTGTAATCTCCCAGAATGACTGCCCAGAGGAAACTGTCCCCTCCATCTTCTTCTCTCACTACTGAGTGGCCCTGCTTGGAGCAGCAATGAATATAAAATTTTTGTTGATCAGGAGTATTATGTCATACAGTAACAGCAGGGAACTCGATTTAGTGGCCTAGGAGGTCCGTTCCAGTCTGTGTTCCTGCATGCAAGATAGTCTGATCTGCTTTTTGTCTTTCTGTTTAGTAACACTCACCAGTCATCCCCCGGGGGACAAGCTCTCAAGCTAAGCAGCAGCAGCAGCACTCCTGGCAATAAGCAGTGGGAGATGGGATCTCATCAGAGCAACCGGTCAACTTCAGGTGATTCCTGTGTCAAAGATTCATCAGTCAAAATGTGCAAAATTCCAGGGCTTCTGCAGAGTGTCAAGTGCTGCACTGCAAATGGGATTTTTTTTTTTGAACAATGTCTTCTGGTGATAGGCTTTTGAAAGCCCTCTGGGTTTTATGGTTCCATGTTCCTAAAATATAAACACTTCCTCTTTTGAATCAAAAAGTGGCTCTGAACATATTTCCATATAGAAAATTTGAATTGCCTCAATTAAGAATTGAAAAAATCAGTTCTGTTGCACTTACTGACACCACTGAAGCTCAGCGGAGCCAACATTACAGACACACAGATGTAATTCAATACTAATGTTCACCCACTGGCATTTTCTGCATAACTCTATGCTGCTTTTTTGCATTGCCTGCTGATAAGATGATACAGATGAGCAGTTGCTGTACACTCATATTTCTGCACTCTAATAACGTACTGGCTGAAGCAAGGATAAGACTCTCTGTAGAGCACCTTATGAGACGTTCCTCCAATATTCTTTTATTTGCAGAAAAGTAGTGGAACTGAAAAAAAAACAAAGCCAAAAGAAGTTAAAAGGTAGGGATAGTCTCATCCAATTTAAGCAAAGTGCAACTTTGTAAGCTGTCTTGGTATCACTGGTAGTGGTGTAGGAACGCAGTGGGCTTGCTCATGGTTGCGCAGATTTTTTGCAGTACTGACTCTGGTTCCTGAGGCATGACCTGAGATTGTGGCAGATGGGGACACGGAGCAGAAGTGGACAGCTTTGTTCCTCTATTGTTATTCCTAAGGGCGTTTTCTGTGGGTCAGCTGTAGGGCAGTTTCTTGTGTAACTCCTTGCAAAGCAGTGGTGTGTTACAACCCTTTGCATACAGGTTGACTGCTAAAGATGGGCGACATGGGGAATCACGCGCAATTTGGAGCAGGGTGGATGCTAGAAATGTTCTGAAACCACACCAGTGTGCTGCTGAGGTCATTTATTTTTAAACTGAGGCTCACATTGTTAATTTGCAAGCCCTTGATAAATGAAGAACAAATTGCTTATTTATTACACTTAACACAATCCAGCCAGTTTTGCTTTCACTAACTACACAGAATAGGAAGCTTTGCTTCAAGGGAAATCCAAAGCACACTTTAAACTGCTTGGGTTTTGTTTCTTTTTGCTCTGCTCTTATGTCATTTTATGTTTGAATAACAGCATAGAGATGAACAACGTGCAACAGCCCGGCTGAACTTTGCAATGTCTGCGTGATGTGTAACTCCTGTGCTATTTTGGCATGGGGAAATGAAAACCTCACCAGCAGTGGAAAGAATAGAAAACCTCCCTTGTGGTTTAAACTGTCTCCTTGGGTTCTTAAGTGCCATTAAATTACAGCTAGTTCTGGCATGTGGTGTTCCAGAAAGAGTTTGTTGCTTTCTCAAACCCACAGGGATAATGAATTGGGCAGGAAGGGGCTATAAATACTTTAAAGCTAATACTTCTGCTGAGTTGCTTAGGTACTCATTGACCAATAAGGAATTCTGAATTTTAAAAGCTTTGCAAAATGCATGAATACATGAAGCCATGGTGATAAAACTATCTAAATTACCAAATACAAATCCTAATTTGCGTGAGCTTGAATTCTCCCCCCTTAACTTGCAAGGAGTCCTGTTGGTAGCAGTGGGATAGTCATGGGAGAAATTGCTAAACAGTGTAGACATTGAGCTGGCTAGTGTGTCGCAGTGGCAGGGTGAGGGCACATCTGCTTTCCCTCCCTTCACTTATATCGGGAATCGTGTGCAGAAGACAGCATCTCTCCAAGGCTGCCTTTGCTCTTCCCAGGTAGCTTTGTGGGCAGTGGGGGCATTGAAAGGGAAGATTCGCTTAATTACTTGCAAGCATCCCTCCTAACATGGCATCAACATGTGCAGGTGGACTCCAGCTCCTCTAGTCTTGTTGGCTTGGGTATTCGATAGCTGCACAAGCATGGTGGCAAGCGTAGGTCCCCAAGCCACCTGGGAGGGAAGCACAGTGCCGCAGGTTCCTTGCCACCCGTACCTGACCTTGGGCAGAGTGTCATGAGGAGCCACCTGACGCTGAGCTGGCCCACGGCGGGGGCCAGTTCTCTCTGCAAAAATGCAGGCTGTTATTACCTACTTCTCCATGGTGCAGAGTGGAAGTGGGAGCTGAGAAGTGACACTCTGTGTGTCCCAAGGCAAGCAGGGACTGGAAAATGGTTCTCCCTGTGCTGCCGTGGGAAGCGGTGAATCCCCGTCTGCTTTTAGCTTGACCCCATGCTCGTGAGTGAAGTTTAGTGCAGCTGTTTGCCCCCTGCCCGGTTGGCTTTAGAGAATCAGATCCTTTAGACTGATTTTGTGCAACAGTTTTATGACGGCCAAATCTTGGCACCACGTCTGTTTGCTCATGAAAGTGTGCATCGGGGGCCCAGGCTCTTGTCCCCTCTCCTTGTCTGCAGTCACAGGAATATCGCTGGGTGGCACCTTCAGTGCTGGAACATACCCAGCAGTTGCTGATACGATGAGCTGTCTCCCCTCAAGAAGAGGATCAGGGGAAGGGATTAGCATGCCCTCACCCTTTTCCCTTGCAAGCTGCCTTCCAGTCCGTGGAACTGTTGCTGGTGCGCAGTGGGAGTATGTTGCCAAGTTTTTGGACGGCATGTCTTACTCTTGCAGCGTTAAACTGCACCAGTATCAATTTATATACATAATATTGTGGCATCCAGAACCACTGGGAAACAAGCGAAAAGATTTCCCTTTGCAACAAAGAGAAGAAAGAAGTTTGTCAGCAGAGGCTGGTGTCTGCTTTGGGTGGTAACTATATGTGTTTGTCTTACTGGTCCTCTCTCTCACCCTGCTGCACACGCATTTAAAAAAAGAAACTTTTTTTTTTTTCACCCAGGGAATCCAGGACTGGCCAAGGCAGAGAACGCTTTGTCCCAGAACCACTTGCAGCTGCATAAGAAGTCTGAAAAAGCTGCTCATCCAGGCCAGATTGCAGTAGGTTCTTTTAAATCCACTGCTATTTTTGGTTTGTTCATAGTTTGCACTGAGGGCATGTCTATGCAGACAGCTCCTCTGTTGGTGCTTGAGCTTGCTAGCTAATGAGTCCATCTGAGAGGCCGCGTGGGGCTGGCTCGAGCTTACTGCTGCATTAACGTGTCCCACCAGCTTTTGGTCCAGGTGTGACTTGTGTCCAGCTCAGGTCGTCGGCAGAGAGTTCAATTTTCCTGAACCTGCCTGATCATAAATCTTTAGAAAGGAAGGGTGTGTCTTTCATATTTCAGGGAGTCACTGATCACTTGTCATGCAACCCAGAAGTCAAGACCATGCCTGTGGCTCGTGCAGATATCCAGTGTGTAACTGCCTGGAATATGCGCTGCCAGGCTGTGACACACTCAAGACTGTCCTGGCTCTCCGTTTGCTGACGTGCCACTGATGGAAAGGATAATTGCTACTCCTCTGTCTTATTTACTGAGGCATTTCTTTTCTTTGGTAGTGTTTTTGGTGCGGGAGAGTGGGGGGATGCCTGTCAGACAACTGGAGCTCACGGTGCCTTGTGCAAGAGCTCGTATGTGGGATGCTTGGCATTTTAAAAGTTTGCGGGATGCTTGGCATTTGAAAACATGGCAGGCAGGCCCGGGTGGCTCCAGGGGATGCAGAGCGGGGCAGCAGGGGACAGCTGACCTTACCAGAGTCCCCAGCCCCTTCTGGCTGTCAGGGACCGGAGGTTTGAAGAAGACTCTGTGTTTAGGCCATTGCCAATGATGTGGGAGGCATACATACGAGTTCCCGTAGGACTGGGGTGTCTGACTGCCCTGTGGGTGTGAGCCGTGGCTGTGTTGGTATTGCCTTTCCAGCCCGAAGGCGCTTCGTACCCGCTCTGCGCAGGCGCGGCCTGTGCTCGGGCATGGCCCCGCAGGCCTCACGGTAGCCCAGGGCTGGAACGAAACTCAAGCCAGTGTAATCCTTGAGTGCTGGTGCAGAGCGCTCCCTTTCTTGTGCGAAAAAGGAAATACTTCTGTGCTCCTGTAAAGCGTGAAGACTGAACCATAAATGTTTGAGATTCAAAATAACATAGTGACTAAAGCTAGTCACCTTTCAATTTTTAGGAAAATCAGGTGTTTTGGCTTAAGTCACTTTCCTGTGTGAAATACTCACTTGTGATGGACCAAAGCATCAACTTCCTAATAAAGCTTTTTTGGTGTGGAAATGACAACTGTGTTTGCTGGGACAGTAAAATACTGCACATGCTGTTTAGCGATGGGTTCTTCTGTGAGAAAAAAAATCAACTGAGTTTTCTTTACTCAGAGTCCAGGCTCCTTTGCCAAGGGGAAGGACAGCGCCAACTCATTCTTAAAAGCAGCAGACTATTCCTCATCAAGTGACGAAGCCAGCAGCAGCGATGAAGATGACATGAACCACACAAGGTTGGCTTGATTTTTTTTTTTTTATTATTACTATTATTTTCTTCCTATTTAATTACACACAAATATCTGGAAAAAGTTGGCATACATAAATACTACCTCTCCTCTGAAGTTACTATCAGTCATTTATGTCAGTTGTAATTAAGCAGTTTAATTGCACTATAATGAACTCCCGGCGGTAGATGTTTGCTCCATCAGATATACGCAGTGTAATAAGCTTTGATGACTTGCTGCCCTGGGACAATGAGGAAATGTCTTGTTTTGACTGAATATCAATAGGTAGTGCATTTATAGAGATTACTTCACATTGATCTATGTTTAAATGGAATTTTTGAAAGAAAAAAAGAGAGGGAAAGAAACCTGTACACCTTCATGCTAAATACAGGTTACAGTGAAAAAAGCAAGGCAAACATGACCCTTGTATTCAGATAGTCTGTTCACTCCGGGAGAAATAATTACCACTGAAAAGCTGATTCCTTCACCAGGGCTGTTTATAAAGAGGGGATAGTGTAAGCAGGATTTGTTTTTGTAACATTTGCTGTATTTTTAATATTCTTATTTTGCACAATTGCTGTGGTTGCCAGATGATGCTGTGGCTTGTACCAAGCTGATCTCACCTGAACTGTTTCTTTCTAGCTTTCCAGTTTCTCTTGTTGATTTTGTGACTGACATCTTGTGGTGTTTTACCTGTCATGCAAAATGTGTATTCTGCTGAGAAATAATGGAGCATGAATAGCTTGCTAGTCCAAGCGAAAGAGACTCAGGGGACCAGTTGGCCGGCCCAGCTGTTTGGAACAGCAAACAGAATTATTTTTTAGTATTGATGAATGAAACTTCTAATTTTCTTGCAAAGAGACTTCAGTTTAATTCAAGTTATAGGATTTATTTTGAAGTGCATCACAGGGCCACAGAGCTCTCTGGGATGGGGCTCTTGCTCTTCTGACATAATTGCACATGCAGTTTTGTCAGTCTTCAGGAAGAGATGCACAGATTTGTAGCACCGTCGGCAAGCTATTGCGTTGGCCTGGTACCAGTCCTTTCCCCTGTCTGAAGAAGGTAGAGTTTTTGCACCTGCATATGCTCCTGATTTGCATTTCTGAAGTTCATTTTCAAAGCTGAGGGATGAGGAGGGAGAATGTTAAAAATCTTGTAGCTTATTCAGTGCACCTGAAAGAGCTGTCTTTTTACTGTAATGCCTTTATTTTCTTACTGCTCCTCTTCCAAACCACCTTATTCTGCTCTGTAAAAAGTTTTATTCACTCTAGGTCATAGAATTCATCCTAGACCTCAGAAAGATTCTACATAAAAATACGGATTTGCCCTGTAGCAATGAGTTTGCTGTGTAAGTGTTAGATTGCTGTGATCCTTGCATGCTGTAATGATTTGAAAGAGTGGTATCACTGCCTTTGGAAATCTGCATGTGTTATTTGCATCTCCTCTGTGTGTGAGATCCACCAGTCCTCTAGAGAAGTGGAATTAGCAGGATGATCCCTGTCAGGTTTGCCTTCCTGTGCACACAGCCACCGCAAGAACTCCTATAAAATCAAAAATATAATCTTGTCTATTAACGAAGTCCCTTCACCTCGGCTGAACGGCATTCATACTAAAAGATAGATGCTTTGGGAAATATATCCTGATTACTTCCAAGTAAATAGCAAAAAGGATAGTGATCAAAGTGAAAGCTGCAGCCAGCATTGAAACTTTGCATATTCTGGATAAAGTGAAGGTTTTCGTTTTTCTTGCTATCTAAAGCATGTGAATACAGGACCTGAAGCCCCTTGCAGTCTGTAGGAGTGTTTCTGTGTGGGCTTTGGCTGAGACACCGTGGGGCACGTTTTAGCTAGTATTGAAAACAATCTGTGTTTTCTTGTTCTTGCCTGGGCTGTGGAACAGCTTTTGATGTCCACGCTCCAGCTTTCATGGAGGTGCCCAGTAGGACTAGACTTGGGACATGCACATATGCAAGAGAAAGAGCTTCACGTTCTCTTGGACGAATCCTGTTAACCACCCTGAGAAGGCTCACTTCTGAGGAAGCCAGGACTAAGGGCATCTGTCTTTCATCAGTAAAACAACTTTTGGTCTTGTTTTTCTTTTCAGTGAGATGAGCCAGAATTCTTCCTCACGCACACCAGGTGTTTATTTTAAGGAAAGGATGTCAGTGTATGTGATCCAGCATCTTATCTGCTTGTATAGCATATCTATTCCATTGATGCTAATTTCCTTCTACTCTACTGAGAGTGCTTCCTCCTCCGATGCCTGCAGCATTCACAGTCCCCCTAAAACAGAGTTTGCTGGGACTCATTTTGTATAGTTCGGTTTCTTCTCTTGGCTCTTTGTATGCTGTTCCCTACCAAAATTTGAACAAGGTGGGTGCAGGTGTGTGCTTGGCTAGGAATTACTTTCTCCCCCTAATAAGTGCGAAGTTGACATCATTTAAGGTCAGCTGCTGCTTGCTTTCCTGATAAGAACAGGTCCTTGCGCTTACCATTGATCCTACTCCATATCTTGCCAATCCTTCTAAGTTTACTATGCAAATATTTACCCCTCCCATAGAGGCAGGGGAACATGACCCAAAACCAAAAAATAAACAACAGAAAAAAGCCACAAAAACTTCTACTTCACAACCATCTTAATTCGGTAGCTCTCTCACCAAACTTTCTTTGTTATCGCATTGGGCAACATTTAAAAAAAAACCCAAACCCTTGTACTCTCCTGCGAGTTGTGGCGTAGCACTGTAGAGCCCTTCACACCAGCATCCTGAATCCAGTCAGTTTTATAATTACTGGAAAGGAGGCAGAAATGTAATAGGCTTAAAGGGATTGCAGTAATAAATACATGAATTAATAAATAAGTGGAATAAATAAATAATGTGGGGTGGAAATGTGCAGAAATGGGGTCAGAGCCTCGCTGACGGAAGTTTGAGGCAGTTCCACTTGGGTGAAAAAGTTTGAGATTCAAAGATACCACTGGTTGTGTAGGAAGCGATAGAGTGCTGGGGTATATCATACCAGGTGCTTGCCTTGTTCTTACTCTTCCTTTAGGTATCTGCTTTTGGTCACTGTTGAAGGCAGGATACTGGGCTAGGTGAGCTTTTGGCCCCAGCCAGTCCAGCAGCTCTCACCTTCTTTTGTCTCTATGAGCACTGGGCAACATTTTCTTTGTTTCTTTGTACGTGAGGTGAGGATGTCCATATTTCAGGGACTGATTCACAGTATGAAATTCCAGCGTAGCCTGTCCCAGTAGACAGAGAGGTCCCTGATACCAGCATATAGTGGGCAGCGGCTCTCCCCCTTGCCGGTTCAGCTGATGCTCTTTCTCTGGAGAGGGTGGTGTACGAGAGGAGATGGGAGAAGTTTTGAAGTAGGCACCTCTCAAATGACAGCTTGAAGGACCAGCTCTCACTTGCCTGAGTATGCAGTGTCTGAAAAATGATGGATGAAATGCAGGGAGATGCAGGGATGCTCCCCATCGAGTTGGGGAGTGTCCTGCTGTGTGTGAGTGGTCTTCAGGCTCGAGTCCGTTCAGGCACGTCCACAGACTAATCAGCTTGCTTTTGTACAAGGACCTTTAAGTGTAACTAGTGAATGTTGATTATGCTCACTTTTGAATGTGTATATGTGGCGTTTTTTGCTTTTTGGTTTTTGGGCTCTTTTTTTTCCCTGAAGTAGTTCTGTTCGTTAATTGGAGTTTGTTACCAGGCAACTGCTCAGCAGCAGAGTGGCAGATTTCTCAAGGACGAGAGTACCAGATGGAATTGAACTGAAACCCCAAAGCACCGTTGCAGAACAGAAGGTAATTTGGCCATTTGTAAGGGGGTAGGTACAGTGCGGGGGAGTCAGATCATTAATGTGCATGATAAACGCTGTATCCATTTCTTATCGGCAGCGTTTTCACTCTGAAGGTCTACTCTGTCATTGCAAATTATAGCTATAAGCTTGAAAAAATGTGTAGTTTCAAGTTTTGTGCTTCCTATAAAAATGCTTACATTTAGGTACGAAATTGCGCTTCTTTATTTGTCCTTGTTATTGACCTGGTAGTAGTTTCTGATGTCAACGTATTTCTTGAAGGCACTGGGCAGGTTGCAAAAAGCAATACTGTTGATTATTGTTGGTGTGCATTGCTGATATTTTAAAAAATCTTGACCTTTTTTATTCCAATTTAAAGAGACTGCCTTTTACTACTTAAAATATTACCAGAAAAGGGGAAAAACACTTCATCTCTCCCTGCTAGCTTAGCAAAAATACATGTTTTCTCATATGTCATGTTGTGGTCCTTCCCAGCTGTAGTTTCTAGTAGAGACTTCAAGTCATGTGGATTTTCCCCTGTGATAAACATTAGTGCAGAAAAGATGAAGACAGACAAAGCAGAACAATGTTCTTTGTGATCGAAAACAAAAAAAAATTACAGTAATAAGACTCGCACTCAGCGTCAAAGCACTTCTCACATAGTACTGCGTGTACTCTCATTTCAGATAGGGAAAACAAATTGCTGTGAAACTGGTGTTTTTCTCAGAGCTGCTTGCGTGAGCTGTGGCAGGGCTAGGATGAAAAAGGAGTTTTCTTTACCTCTGGTGTGATTTCTAAGCTTCAGACCAGAGTGGCATCCTTCTTGACTGGGGAAGGAGTTCCACTTTGCCTTCATCCCACCATCCTTGAGGAGAAAAGACCCTGTTTTGGAGAAGGAATTATAAATGGGGCAAAACCAGTATTTTTCTTGGGGCAAAACCAGCCTGGTGCTTTCCCTTTCCCCTGATATCCGGGCGTTGGAAATAGGCTGCTTGAGGGAAAGGAGGAGGATGGGGTCTTTGAGGCCCAGACTGAGGATGAGGGAGGATGGAAAAGAGCGGAGGTCACATTTTCTGGTGGGTTTGGGGAGGATAATGCGGGAGGGAGAAGAGACAGATGACTTCCACCTCTCCTCACAAATCTCTGATGCCTTCCAGTCTTCTCCCTCCTTCTCATCCGTTCCTCCCACCTCTGTTTCACCAACCACAGCCATCATGAGTCTCCACGACTTCCAACATCCCTTTTCCCAGCCCATGAGCATGAACTGGTTTGAAGTGGTTAGGGTGTACCAAACTGCGCAAATGATTCAAATGGGGGTTTGGTTCAGTTCAGCTGAATCTGACTCAAAACTGAACAAAAAAGCCCTATGGTTTTTTGTTGATTCCCTAATCTCAAATGCTGACGTGTATGTTTTGGTTTTGTTTTTTATATCTAAATTAAAATGTAAAACACCTAGAGCATCAATTTGATTTCTAGTTAATTACTATTACTTGGCTTTTAAAAGGCAAATGTCTTCTATTTAGAATTACCTACTTTGTTTTTTTATTTTCATATTTTGGCCAGCATTCAAAAAAGCTGATCTGATTTCAGTAGGTTGTTTATCAAAGTCAGTACAATGTACAGACTTGCCTTGAATTCAACCAGGCAGAAGCTGCTCGAGTTTGGTGGCACTTTTTGCTTCGGTGTAATTCAGGAGGAATTTTCTAGTGTAGCGCTTGGCTCCTGTCACTCTCTACATTCCAGTGCCGATGGTGTTCAGGTGCCCTGACCGATCACGGCCAGGGGTAGATCCCTCTGCACTGCCCTCCCCATCTGGGACACCGCTTGCTTTCCACATCCCGTCTTTCTTCCTCTCAAAGCTTCTAGCCATGTATTCCCAGAAACCAACCTCCGATCCGTATTTTGTGCTGTTGGGGAGAGAGCTTGTGTGGTGCCTCACACCTTACATAGTTTACAAGTATTGCCTTGAAGCTGGTGTGATCCTGTAAAGAAGTCTGCAGTACCAAACGTCGTTGTACTGGAAATTCTGATACTGGATCTTTCTGAATGTCATCATTCTAGAATGAGGTTTCTTAATTCAGTAAATGGAAAGTAGCAATGAATGAATAGTAAGGGGCTTTGAAGTAAATGCAGCTCCAGAACCGAGAAGTACCTACTTCTACCTGTGGTAGGTAGAGGTCAGATCTGTAACACTGGGACAAGTCATTTGATTCTGTCTCAAGTGTCTCTGAGGATGAAGTTGCTTCTTTACCTGTGGCTGAGGAACGTAGATGAGGAATGTTTGTGGAGCACTTTGGGAGTGGAAGCCAGTGTTGATGTCTCAGGTGTTTGCCACACACTTTTGTATTTAATTTTTTATTTTAACCTTTCCATGATGCATCACGCAGAGCACCCCTCCCCATATGCTCATTATTTATTGTTCTAATTTACAGGAGTTGCATAGTGCATTGGAGGTATGCTAAATGTGGAGTTTAACTGTATGTTCTCATGTGCAGGATCAGATTTTAGGGAAACAAATTTCTAGCACCCAGGAAGGCCTCTGGAGCGTAAACAACCAGAACTATCTCCTGCCAGATCTCCTCCAGCAAAGCCAAATTTCAGATTCCTCTGTGAACCCACCAAAAGTGCCACTGACTAGCCAGGAACCTCAGAACAAACCTCTGAATAAGGTAAGAGATAAATTATAGATTGGATGAACCGTACCATAATTTTCCTCTAGCTCTTACGAGCCTGAGATTGAGAGCCTTTTAACTTCATCTGTCCTGTCTCTTATGAGATCACATCCCTTCTCTTCTTTAAAAGTTGTAACTAGGGGACAGATAAGAAATCTTGAGCTCCCTAACAGCTTTTATTGTTCCACTTGTTTGCCCCCATCTCTCTCCCTGCTCCCTTTTCTTTCCTTCCTTTTTTCCTCCCCTTTTGCACAAGCTGGAAGGGCTTGTACCCTCTGCTCCTTTACCTGTCATGTCAGCAACGCAGCACTCTCGTCGGCCTCTGCTCACTGTCCCTGGCTTTCTTCCATCCAAGTGTCGGGTGGGAGTGCACGGGGCCAGGGCAGCATGTCTCGGCAGCCCCAAAGGGACTCTTACACCGCTGTGAGCACAGGGGTCTCTTGGGGAGAGGTGTGCCACTGGAGGCAGATAACAGCTCTGTCAGGGGTCACGTCGTAAACTGCCTTACTTGAGGCAACAGCGTCCTTCTTGCCGCGGAGAGATTTGTGCAGTGCCCTGTTGCAGACGAGACAGCAGGGAGTGATCGACACGCTCTTCTTCTGGGGACTGGTTATTTCAGTGCAGTGCAGTGCCTGGCAAGCATCCCGACACAACTGCCTGCTCAGGCCTCCTCTTCTGTCACTGAATTTCTACTGCTGTACCGTGTATCTGCTGCTTTAGGACTGCTCATCATGTCTAAGTATGCCACATGCCATTTCTTCTGAACCTCAGAGGCACCGCATTGCTGTGTGCTGTCTGCTCCCCTAGCATCGTCTTCCTGAAGCAGCTCTTGTTTTTCATTGTAGACCCCGTGCACTGAAAGCACACCTTCAAAGAGCAGTACGTCGTCTACAACATCGTTTACTTCATTCATAGATCCTAGACTTCTGCCAATCACCCCTCCCACCAGTCCAGTAGGACCTTCCTGTAGTTCGCGTGAGTATGCTTTACCCTTCTCAGAAAATGTCACTCCTGGTTTCTTTCTTTTTTGAGGAGCTGGGGGGGCCTATTGCTTGGAAATGGAAACCGTCAGTAACATCTCCAGAAACTGAAACCCCACATCGCTACGATTTTTCATTGTACTGCTTCTGCCCTTCTTCCAGATGTGGCTTGCTCTACTCTGCTGCTGTGTTACCACAGGGCTTACTCAGGAACGCCTGAGGAATTTTCCAGATGTATGGTTTTTTTCTCTGGCTGTGTAATGCTCCTGAGGTGTTTTCTCACTCCTCTGGGGTTTCTTTCATTCTGCCATAAACAGGTCAAATGTGAGATGTAGCCAAACACTCGCATTTTTCATGATTGTGTATGTCTTTCATTCTAGCATCTAGTGCAAAACCTGAGCCTGTCAGGAGAGAAAATGCAAGGAAGGGCTCCGTTGTCAACGTCAACCCAACGAATATCCGCCCGCAGAGTGACAGCCCAGAAATTCGTAAATACAAGAAGAAATTCAACTCCGAGGTCCTTTGTGCTGCTTTGTGGGGTAAGCTCAGAAGTACTTGGGCATGTGTTTGGAGGGAAGGCAGCAGCAGGGGAGGCTGGCAGTGTATGCCAGGCAGATTTCACAGTTGTATTGCACCTCTCCTGTCAGAAAGTCCTGGAGTGGATCACTGAGTAGATACCGGCGTCACTCGCATGACACTGCCTTCCTGGTAGAAGATGGCAAACAGATGACTTACAGTTGTAAAGGATTTTGTGCATCAGAATGAGAAAATGTTTTGATCGGGCACCAAATTGAAACTGTGCTTGTTGGAAGAGCCAAAAGTTGCAAATGTTTTAGTAACTTATGTGGCTCATGATATTCTTGTCTCAGCTGCATACGAGTACAGATGATCACACTGAGCCCTGACCCAGTGGAAATAATCCAAACCTGAAGCCTTTTGCTGTCATGTGTGCTAGGTATTCCAAGAATCTGAAGCAGGTCAGCCATCAGTCCTTCCAAAAGCTTGGCTTCCTCAGTTCCTGCTGTCAGTGCTGACTCAGAACCTTGGTGGATCACCCCTTTTTACAGGGTCAGCTTCACATGGTGTAAAGAGAGTGTAGTCAGACCAGTTTTCAACAACTGGAGACCTTGTCCCAGTCTCACACTAGCTAAGCTCTTGAGTTGTTTTAACCATCTTTCTACTTCAGAAGAACAGATGTATTCTGTGGGGCTCACCCAGCCTTTTACTACCCCTCCTCACTTTTTGAGTCTGGAATGGAAAATGAATGAAGTAGACGAAACATTATCCAAAGGAAATGTAGATTTCCAGTTTACAGCTTCACAGATTTTGTGTAATGTGTGTTTGTAGGAGTCCAAGATTTTAAATCAAGAACAGAGCTGTGTGGCAAGGTCTGTAATTAAATGTGCATTGGGGCTGAAGAGCACCAGGTACTCGTCAGAGCATTGCCAGTAGAGGAGGTTGCTTGTTAGAGCCGGATACCTCATGTCGTTTCTTTAGAACCTGCTGATTAGGAAATGTAGCTGTCATGCCAGCCGAACACAATTTTTGACATCCTCTGATGTCAGCAACCCACTGGAGCCTTGGCTTTTTTGGGAGCAGTTGGATTTCAGATGGATCCATGCCTTTAATTTGGCATTTGAAAGCATTCATGCAAAACACAGACTGTTTTCAAACAAACACTCCACTTCCTTGTAACAGCAGCCCTTCTTCCCACAAGTTTGGTCCTCCTGTGATTTGAGTGTTGTATTTGGGGAAAGAAGGATTTTTTTTTTTTAATTTTTTTTTTTTTTTAAATTGGTAGAGGCCCTTAGATCATGTAGTTGGATTTCCTGTGTGCCAGTGGAGTGGTGCTGGACTGGGACTTTTGCAGTGCTCACAGGCACTTTCCAAGGTCACCTGAGAAGTTTGAGTTCACAAAGCATTTTCCTTTTTGTTTAAACCAACATTGACTTCAGCAGAACTACTCATCCTTCAAGTTATATGGGTATATAAGTGTTCTGCTGGGGAAAAACTGTAATGGTGAGATCCTTTTCTTCTATTCATTTTTCTGGGAGGTCGTCCACAGAGCAACAGAGAAATTATCAGGTACATTAAGTGAGACTAAATAAGAATCAGTTCTCAAAACAATGAACACTCGGTGCCCTCTGAATCACTAGGTAATTTATGCAGGTTTTTTTTCCTTGTATCAACAGGAGTAAATTTACTGGTGGGAACAGAGAATGGATTGTGGCTGCTGGACAGAAGTGGGCAAGGAAGAGTTTATTCGCTGATTACAAGGAGGCGATTCCAGCAAATGGATGTTCTGGAAGGACTCAATGTGCTAATTACTATATCAGGTTAGTTCAGTGTCTAAAAGTATCTGACCTGCATTGGGGCTGGAAGCAATTAAAAAGAAGAATTAGGTTATAAACTAGGTTGAGGAATTTCCTCTTACAGAAAGTCACAGCACAGTTACTCTTGTTAATAGGAAAACTCTCTTGAATTTTTCAAATTTACATTCTCATTTCAGCGAGGCTTTGGGATATTTCATTACCTGGTTAATGTGTAAGTGGTTTGTGGCAAGTATGAAGTGTTTCATATCCTTAAAATGAACTGGTTCTCAGCAAGTTATAGTTTGTCAGTGTGTTTGCTTGTTTCTGTGATGGGTGAGCATCTATCGAAGTGCAATTCTATTAAAATATCATTAAATAACCTCACTCTGTGTTCGACAAGATGTATGAGCAGTAACACGAGAGTGATCTATACTGTGAAAGCATCAGTAACATTAAATGGAGTAGCGTCTTCAACCTCTGCTGACAAACAACTTGGGCTCTGCCCTGCAAGGTACTGAGGCCCTTCTTCCCCATGGATAAGAGCGGCCTCAAAGGATGCTTAGTACGTAACCAGGCGAGAGATGTAGGTCCAGCAAGGAATGGCAGCTCCTTGTCTCCAATCCAGAGTCACCGTGGTAGGTGATGGTGAGAGCTGTTTGTCCCATATTGCCCGGTCCAGTTTCTGATGTGACACAGTCCTCTTTTAGACTCACCTGTGATCCCAGACTCCTGTTGACAGTATGTTCTTGCAAACTAAAGCAACAGAAAGATTGACTGAGATGAAAGATGACAAAGTAATTCTCACCTGGAAAGGTATCCAAAAGAAAACAGCTACTTGTAATGAAGATTGTCAGTTAATTAGAACTAAATGAGTCACTTATTCAAAATGGCCATTGTAGGCCATACCTGTGTTCCTTCCTTTACATCAAAGAGTACATGCCATATAGTGATTATGGCAGATAGTGTGATTATTTCTGGTAATACATGCACCTATAGAGACCTGTTCTTTGGCCTTAGGGAAGAATTTTAGTCAGGTGTGAAAATCTTGCATGAAGCTTGGGTCACAAGGTAAGTGCACATGAGCCGAATGCCATAGGATAGCTCATGTTCCAGTTCCCTCCTGCATGTCACCATCACACAGGGCTTTTCTTCTGTGCTGTTGGACTCTTCTCTCACCTTGACGAGGCACAAAGAGCCGCTGTACTCAGGGTCACAAAACTCCGGCTTTTTGTAAATGTGGGAGAGTTTGTACTTCAGTGAGTTAAAGCGTTATGTCTGTCTTTTTTTCTAAATCCTAGGGAAGAAGAATAAGTTGAGGGTATATTACTTATCATGGCTGAGAAATAAAATTTTGCGCAATGATCCTGAGGTGGAGAAGCGGCAAGGCTGGGTGTCTGTGGGTGACCTGGAAGGCTGCGTGCACTACAAAGTCGGTAAGGACTTTTTGTTTTTTCCTTGAAGAACTGCTTAATCATCCTTTTGCATCTCGTGACACCAGCATTTTTCTTCAGCTCTGTTTCAGGATTGTATTGGGCTGAATATCTCTTGAGTTCTTTCAAACCTCCTTGTTTTACATGGCAGATGCTTTGCTGCCTGTCATTCCAGGTAGCATCTCTTCTTGCAGCAGTTAGTGGATGATGATATGGGTATTCCCTGTGATGGCTGGAAGAAGGGAGTGCCAGCCCTGGTCTGTTGCTCAGTCGGTGGTTTAGAAGTTCTATAGTTACTTAAGGTTTTAATTAGACTGATGTTTTCCACCTCCATACTATTCAGCTTCCCTCCTGGCCCTGAGTAACTGCTAAGAAACTGGACTAGTACAGTGCTAGTAAATTGTATTTGTAGGATGTCCATAGGTAGATCAGATTGGATCTGATGCTGCAGCTCATCCCTGTCGCTAGATCATAAAAGACCTAAATATACCTTTGTTTAAACTTACACACTGGAAATGGTATACTGTAGCAGTTGAAAAACCATCTTGCTTTTATTTGGCTTTCAGGCAGTTCATTCTTGAAGATGAACATCAGTATTGTGATAGTTTCTGTCATTTAACTGCGTGAGGGGGTGTGACGTATAGCGCAAGTTTTGCTTTGGTGAAAGATGGTATATGAAAGTGGCACTTTTTTCAAAGTCAAATAGAGAAATTATATAGAGGAGTGCAGGAGACGGCGAGGCGGCTGGCTCTCATAAATACCTTGCTTGACTTTTTTTTTGCTTTTATGTCTCACAGCTTTAGAAGTGGCAAGGGTTAAATCCAAGAAAGAATGTGAAACAGATGTGCGTTGTTATTTTCTTTGTGATTATAGCTAAGCACCCACGTATTCCACTACAGTTGCTCATCTTTGGGTTTGGTGTGTTTTGTTTTTTTTTTTTAAAAAATAGTTATCCTAAAATTAGGCAAACATTTGGTAGCAGCTTCTGTGTTTACATATGACAAACCACACTTACTTCTTTGACAAAACAGCTGCTGTTGTTTTTCTCTTGGTGAATCTTCTTGTATCTTGACCTTTGGTTTTACAGCCATTTGTCCAGGTAGAAGAGGAAAAGGATGTGCTGTTCTGCATTTTGGTGGAGTTTGATTCCTCCCTCCCCCCCTGCCCCCC